CAAGATCTATCTAACATCAGCACTATTACCTCTGGTGTCACAGTCTCTTCAAAATCCAGCTTGAACTGTTGGCAGCCTTCTGTCAATGTACTAAGTTATTTTGAAATAAAGTTCAAGTTTGTGAATAATACATGCTGTTGTTAGGAGTCAATGAGTCACTCTGATTCATAATGACCTTATGAACAACAGGGCTGAACCTTGCCCTATCTTGCAACATCCTAAGGATCTTTGATAAGCTCAAGCTCACTGCTATAGTCATTATGTCAGTCTGTCTTGTTGAAAAGTCTTATCTTCCACCTTTTCCAGAATGATGTCTTTATCCAAGACTAGGTTCCTTCTGGCAACATACCCAAGGCACGTGAGGTGAAATTATACCTTTCTTGCCTGACTGAACTTCTTCCAAGACAGATTTTTTTTTTTATTTTCAATCCATGAGATACACAGTACTCTCTTCCTACAGGAAAGCTCTGGTGGCCCGGTGGTAAGAAGCTGCACTGTAATCTCAAAGATTCAAAATCATAGATGTTCTGTGGGAGAAGGATGGATAATCTCCTCTCTTGCAATTTACTACCTCTGAAAACCTGCTGGACGGTCAGCTAGGGGTTGGTTCAGAGACTCGATGCACACAACAACAATAACAACAATTCCACCTACACCACAATTCAAAGGCATCAAATCTTCTGTCATCCCTACTCACTGTCCAACTTTCAGATACATAGGAAGTAACTGAAGGCCATGGCTTGGGTCAGGTGTGTCATAGTCTTTAAACTGCTACTGTTGATCTTTAGTATTTTGGAGAGGTCCCTGACAACCCATTTTCCCAGTGCAACATGTCTTTTATTTCTTGACAGCTGATATTATGTATATAGGTAAAATGAAAATGGTGACAACTTCAATCTTTTCTCTAGCTATCTTAACGTTGTCTGTTGATCCAGTGGTGAGGAATTTTTTTTGTTTGTTTGTTTGATGTGAAAATGTAATCCATATTGAAATTTGTACTATTTGATTTTCTGCAGCAAGTATTTCAAGTTCTCTTCATTGTCAACAAGTAAGATTGTGTCATCTACAGAACGCAGGTTGTTGATGAGTCTTTCTCCAATCCAGATGCCATGTTCTTTTAACAGAGTCCAGCTTCTTGAATGATCTTTTCAGCAGATAGACTGGGCATGGAAAACACACACCTTTCCTCAATCTAAACCATGAAGCTTCTTTGGTCTAGGTCTCTCACAAGAACAATTAAATATTTTGGGATTTCCAGTATTCTCAGTGTTATCTACAATTTGTTATGATCTATTCAGTCAAAATGCCTATGAATAGTCAATAAAACATACTAAAAATCTTTTTATTATTCTCTGCTTTCGGCCACTTTTCTGACACCAGCAATGATATCCTTAGTGCCTCAGTCTCTTTTGAATCTAGCTTGAACTTCCACCAGTTCCCTATCTATGTACTGTTCCAGCCACTTCTGAATTATCTTCAGTAAGATTTTACTTGCACGTAATATCAATATTATTGTTCCAAATTTTCACCTTCTGTTAGATCACCTTTTTTTAGTAATGGGAACAAATATGGATCTCCTCTACATTATGTCCCTGAATTCAGTAAAATAAATTTGAAAAGTGCAAGAAGTAGCCTTTTTGAAAAGCTTTAAAGATTCTACTTCATTTATCTAAAATTCCAACTTTATAAATAAAAACTACCATAATAAGAGAAACAATTTCTATTACTGCCATTTGCCAAAAACAAACAAAATACACAAATCATATTTCTATTACTTTACCAGAATGACTGAGAGCTACAGAGCTGGGTTCGCTCTTTGGCTAATGAAAGACTATTCAAATTTCTTCAATAACAATATGACGTAGTCCAAGTACCTCGTACAGGAGCAACAGCTGAGACCATCTATGCCCCCCCCCCCCATGGTAAATCCATGAAAGGTCAAGGAAAGAAACCTCAATGAATTGATTAAAAAGTAAATTTCAATTCAAGAACATTATAAAGGTTATTCTAAAGGTTCAAAAGGTCAAAGCATATGGCTTCTTTGTTTCTATGAATTATTTTTAAAGTTAACTAAAACATTATACACATAATTTGAAACATTCTACTTCTAATTATGGCTCTTTGGAAGAATTCTTGAACTGTTACAGTTAAAGTAACTAAACAACATATAATATGAGTGAGAATACTCTGTGCATGATTATGATCCATATGCTAACTCAGCACTAATATGGCTAATTTATTAGCTTAAAATTAGAAATACATTACCTCTGAATCAAAATCCATTAATAAAACAATTTTATCCTTGATAGAACTGAAGAGATTATGTTTATGAATTAACTGGAAAACATCTTTATGTCTTAACGTTAAGTATATCTCCAGAGCACTGCCATAATTGGTGTCATAGGTGTATCTGTTAAGACACAATTTTTTAGATAAACGTTCATCAATAGTTCTAATGAAAACAAATACACAAAAACACTCAGATCATGTTTTATAAGATTAAAAATTGGAAAAACAGTTTCATGCAGATAAGTTAACTTTTTGTCCTAGTTAATGTATCAAACAATCTCATCTGGGGTCTTCCTCTCCTGTACCGTCCCTCCACCCTTCTGAGGACAATGCCCTACTTTAAGGACTGGTCTCTCCTGGCCACATGCTCAAAGTATGTGAGATAGAGCTTCAAAATCCTAGCCTCCAAGGAGAAACTTGGTTTCACCCTCTCCAAAACAGACCTATTTGTTTTCTTGGTGGTCCATGGTAAGTTCAAGACACTTCTCCAGCACCACAAATCAAAGGTATCAATTCTTCTGTCATCCTTAGTCATAGTCCAACTCGCTGATGCAAACCGTCTAACTGTGAAGACGATGGCTTGGATCAGGCACACCTTAGTCTCTAGACTGACACTGTTGCTTCTCAGTACTTTGGAGAGGTCTCTGACAGCAGATTTACCTAATGTAATTTATCTTTTGATTTTCTGCCTGCTAGTGCCAAGAATGTTAATTGTGGAGCCGAGCAAGCTGTAACTATTAACAACCTCAATCTCTTCTCCATTAATTATGGTCTGTCAATTGGCCCAGTGGTGAGAATCTTTGTCTTCTTGATGTTGACCTTCAATCCATACTGAAGACTACAGTCCTTGACCTTCTGTAGCAAGTGCTTCAGGCCCTTCTCAGTTTCAGTGAGCAGATCTGCATCAGAAACCCAGTATGCCACACAGAACCTGAGTCTGGTTTCACCTTTTGTGCCCGATTCCCGTCAGGAACCCCAGTGCATAACACTCTGCAGGAAGCAGAGACCGCCATCTTGCCTCCTTCTCAAGCGTCCGCTAACCTCCCAGAATCTCATCAGGTTTGTTAACAGCTACCCAGCCTAGGCCTAGATCTGTGTCAGAAACCCTGAGCCTCCAGAATTGGAGGCTGGTTTCACCTTTTGTGCCCAACTATACATACTAATAAATATTTTTTCTCAGAACCTTGCTTCATATTTCATTAAAAGTTTTGAAAATTCAGAAAACTCAGTATTTCACTATTGAGGGCTGTACCTCAACTTTCTTGTTGAAATTCATATACCAGAAAGAAATGATAATGAAATTCTCATTCTAGTAGGGGGGAAAAAAAAGAAAGAAATTTTTACAAGCAGAGTTCAGCTAACAAAAAGGATTATGGTCTCAAAGTTTATTTATAAATGAGCTGTTTAAAATTGTTTCTCTATTGAAACAATGTTTTCCTCATTGTCGTTATTGTTGTTAGGTGTCACTGAGTCAAGTATGACTCACAGAGACCCTATGAACAAAAGATCTGAACCTTGTTCTATTCTGTGCCATCCTTACACATCCTGACACACAAGAGCCCACTGTGGTAGTCACCATGTCAATCTACCTGGTTGAAGATCATCCTGTCCTTTGCTGACCCACCTTCCCAGCATCATGTCCTTCTTCAAGGAATAGCCCTTCCTAGCAACATGGCCAAGGATAGATCTTAAAACATTCTTTTTTTATGATGAGTATTATACCATTCCTCTTCATTTTTTCACTTTTGACATAGCAGATCATCTGTCTGATTCAAAATGGCCAATACCAGGACATTTTACCTCACTAATGAGCAGGGTATCAATCTTTATGTGTTTCATTTAATTTCTGAATTTTTTAAATATTTTCAATTGTGATTTTAACAAGAGTTTACAGGAAAGCTGGGTTTTCATTCATTCATTCTTGCACATTTTTTTCCTGCCTTCTCCCTTCCCATGCCCCCAGTCCTTTTGGTAATGCACCTCTTATTCTAGATTGTCCTCATACATACATATAACACTTAATCATATATTCCTTTCAGACCCTGTTCAGTTCTTCCCCTCATCTGTTCCAATGTAGTGCTCATTATCTATCCACTCTTTTCCTATTCTTCCCTCAATCCTCTGTCAGTCCTATTTTATAACAGCAGTGTTAGACAGTATTTATCCTTTTGTGAATGAGATATTTCACTCACCATAATGTCTTCCAGGCTCATCAATGCTGTATTTTACAAGTTTAATTGTGTGACTTTCACAATTTTCCTATGCATTTGTTTGTTGATTGTCACTTGGACTGCTTCCATTTCTTTGATATTTTTGAGTAACAGCAATAAACATGTGTGTATACCTCTGTTTGATTCTACTTCATCTTTGACAACTTCCAATTTTCTTAGATTAATATTTCTTACATTCTATGTTCCCATTATTATCGGATATTTGCACTAGTTTTTCCTTATTTGGAGTTTTGCAACATTAGCAAATGAAGGTCCTTTACTGGGTGAAAGCTTTACTCTGTTCACATATTTATGGTAGACTCTCCTCTCTCAGTCACACTTTGAGTGCTTTCCAAGCTGAAGGCCTAATCCTCCAGCACTATATCCAACAATGGTCTTCCTTTATCCATAGTTTTCAAAGGCCTGTTATTTCAGAAGTGGGTGACCAGTTTTGTTTCTTAGTCTGTTTCAGTCTGGAAGCTCTGCTGAAATATAATGCCGGTAGTAACTTAAGTACGAGTGCCCTAGCTTCTAGCTTCACAACAATATACAAGCAACACAATATAACAAAGTGACTGACAAAAAGAAGCCAAAACAAGGAAAATGGGTACTTAGGTAAAAGTTAACAGAAGATTTCAAAGGACAGTTTAAGAAGACAAAGCAAAATCTTATAATGAAATGTGCAAAACACTGAATTTAGAAAATAAAAAGGAAAGAAGATGCTTAGCATTTTTGAAACAGAAAGAACGAAGGAAAAAATTCATGCCTTGTGTTGCAACACTGAGGGAGAGTATGGACAAAATCTTGCATGATGCAGGAAGCATCAAAAGAAGATGGAAAGAATACAAAGAGATTCACTGTTACAAAAAGAACTGGTTAACCTTGAACTATTTCAGGAAGTAGAATCTGATCAGGAATCAATGGTGATGAAGGAAGAAGTTCAAGCTGCACTGAAAGCAGTGACAAAAAAATAAAGCCCCAGGAATTGACAGAAAACCAAGTGAGTTGTTAGAGCAAACAGATGTAACTTGGAATGTGCTCACCAGCCTTTGCAAAGAAATTTGGAAGACAGCTACCTGGCCACCTGACTAGAAGAGTTCCATGTATGTTCCTATTCCAAAAATGATAATACACTAGAACACAGAAATTATTAAACAATATAATTAATGTTGTCATTGTTATGTGCCATCGAGTTGCCTGCGACTTACAGTGGCCCTATGTACAACAGCCCTAAACCCTGCTCTATCCTGTGTCAATCTCACAGTCTCCTACACACCTATCCCCATTACCCCAGTCACTGAATCAATCCACCTCATAGAGGGTCTTCTTCTCCTGTGCTGTCCCTCCACCCTCCCAAGCATGATGTCCTTCTCCAATGACTGGTCCCTCATTGCAACCTTTCTAAAGTATTTCACATGCAGCTTTGGAAACCTTGCTCCAAGGAGCAGCCTGGTTTAACCTTCTCTAGGTTGAAACAGTCCATTTTCTTAGCAATCCACGGTATATTCAATACTCTTCTCCAACATCACAAAGGCCTCAATTCACCTTCTATCCTCCCTAGTGATTGTCTAACTCTCTGATGCATAGCAAGTGATTGCAAAGACCATGGCCCGTATCAGATGCACCTTAGTCTCCAGAGTGACACCGTTGCTCTTCAATACTTTGGAGAGGTCCCTAACAGCAGACTTTCCGATCACAATACAGCTTTTAATTTCCTGGATGCTGGTGTCAAGAGTGTTGACTGTGGAGCCAAGCAAAGTAAAGCTGTTAACAATCTCAATCTCTTCACCCATCCTGATGTTGCCAATTCATATTAATATTACATGTAAATAAAATCTTGCTGAAGATTATGAAAATATGGCTGCAATAGTATATTCATGGGGACTTGCGAGAAATTTAAGCTGCATTTAGAAGAGGTCATTGTACAGGGATGTCACTGTTGATGTCAGATGGATCTTGGCTGAAAGCAGGAAGTCTTAGATGTTTATTTGTGTTTTACTGACTATGCAAAAGTATTTGACTGTGTGGATCATAAAAAAAAGTATGGATAACTTTGAGAAGAATAGGAATTTCACAATATTTAATTGTGCCTGTGCTAAATCTCTATCTAGTCCAAAAAACGCAGTCGTTTGAACAGAACAAGGGAACTGAATAGCTTAAAATCAGGAAGGATGTGCATCAGGGTTGTATCCTTTATACTGATTCAGTTTGTCTGGTGAGCAAGTACTTTGAGAAGTTGGACTATATTCAGAAGAATGAAGTATCAGGATTGGAAATAGGCTCATCAACAATCTATATTGTGTAGATAACAAAACTTTGCTTGCAGAAAGTGGACCTGAAGCACTTACTGAAAAAGATCAAAGACTACACAACCTACAATATGGGTTACATCTCACATCAAGAAAACAAAAATCTCCACTACTGAAAACATAGACAATATCATGGTAAGTGGAGAAAAGTATGAAGTTGCCAATGATTTAATTTTACTTGGATTCACAACACCAATCACTCAAGAAATCAAAAGGTGTTTCATTGGAGAAAATTGCTGTCAGGGACCTCTACAAAGTGATAAAGAGCAAGGATGTCAGTTTAAAAATCAAGGTGCACCTAATTTTCAGTTGTTTCCTATGTATCTGAAAGTTGGAGAATGAATACAGAAGACCTGATGTCTTTGTGTTATTGGTTAAGAGTATTGAATAACACATGGCCAAAAGACCAAACAAATCTGCCTTAAAGAAAGTGTAACCAGAATGTTTCTTAAAGGCAAGGACGGTGATACTTTGTCTTTTTTGCTTTGGGCATATTCTCAGAGAGAATCAATTGTTGGTGAGATATCATGTTGGCAAGGTGGAGGGTTAGAGAAATAGAAGAAAACTCTCAACAAGACAGACTGCCACAGTGGGGCTGAGCATGAGAGATGGTGAGGATGGGGCAGGAGAGGGCAAGGTTCGCACCTGTTGCTTATAGGATTGCCAGGCGTAGTTGTGTTGGTGGTGGACCAAAGAGTCAGAAACCACCCACAGCTGACTCTTTGGTGGGTTTTCAGAGGCTGTTAATTGCATAGGAGGGCACTGTCCATCCTTCTCCCATGGAGCGGCTGGGGGCTTCGTACTGGGTACCTTCTGGGATTGCAGCACAGCTTCTAGCCACTAGGTCACCAGAGCTCCCCACTAGAAGTCATAGTCAATTTTTTTTAATTTGTTCGATGTCTTTATTGATACTATTACATGTTGTTATTATTATTGTTGATGATCACCACCGAGTTGGAACTGATCCATAACTGATCCTCCAGTGCGTTTTCAGAGGCTGTTAATCTCATGTTCAACCTTCTCTCATAGAGCCGCTGGGGGATTCAAACCATGTGCCTTTGGGATTGCAGTTCAGTTTCTTACCACTAGACCACCAGAGCCACAGTTGTAGTCAACTTGATGGCACTTAACAACAATACTTAGAATGCTGTAAGCATGACTTTGTAAAAAGTTCATTCAGTCCTGAATTCTAGGTTATTTTGATAGAATTTTCTTGGTATTAGTAAAAATATAAGTCTAAGGTGGTGTGACTACAGAGAAGGGCTGATGCAGAAGAGCCTTCTTGAGTCTAGCTGCTGTATACTTCTTATTTTCCTAGACCAAGTCTCCTTGAGGGTGGACTGTATCTTGGCAAAAGCTTAGGTCCCTGAAAGCATCTATAAATATGGTGAAAACTAACCACAGTGTCCATTTTTAAGCCTAAAACAGTGCCAGGATTATCTCTGATGACATCTTATTTAAACCATAAAACAATCACAAAGAGATTGTTTCTTGTAAATTTATATATGAGGAATCTGGTGCTTGAAAGTTTAATGGACTTGCAGATTCTTCTTCCTGGGAGATTCTTGTGCACGAGAACTGTCACACTTTATGTCCTGAGCCACTGCCTCTATCAAGTGCTAGTGATGGCGCACTCTCCTCTATGAAACGGACTATGCCAACAGTAAAGCCTCTAACTTTTAATTTGTAGTTGTTTATGAAAAACTTTTACTAAGGGTGCACACAGATGTAAAAAGTCTACATCTCCATAGTCATCACTACTTTCCACTATTTGTCTCTGATTGGACTATGAATCATGGTGATTCCATGAAAGTCATTTCCAAGAAATGTGCTTCATACAGTTTTCAATGGCTGATACTTTCTGAAATACAACTGCCAACCCTTTCTTCCAAGGCAGTTCTGTCTGGGCCTTTTTCATAGTTATCAGACAGGTATATTAACTCTGTGGACCATCAGGAACTCCATTCCTCATTGAGAATTTGCCGCATCTAACACAGGAAATATATTTGACAGAGACTGATCTGAAAGAGGGTGCACTGAAAGATACTCACAGTTCCGCAAGGGTTTTAAGTAAGGTCCTGTTTTGACTATCTTTCTTTAGGTGATCCCGAACAGCTTGAACTATGACTGAATTGTTGTACAGGTCTCCAGGCCACTCTTGGATTAATTTGGCAAAACCCTGAACAGAAAGGGGGAGAAAAAAGGGAAAGAGTCTTCAAATAGAATAAAAATCAGAATAGTATCAAAAAGGCTTGAAAGTACTTACATAATTAAATAATTTTATAATTAAAAACTACTCAGATTTCACAAATTTTCAGAATGATTGTGGTGTGATGACAGGGGTGGTAAAGAGGCAGAATTATTATATAATAATCTCCATTTAACAACACTGATAGCAAATAGGTGCTGCATTTGTTATTATTTTTTTAATACTGTTGTTGTTATGTGCTGTCAAGTCGCTTCCAACTAATAGCGACCCTATATTCAAGAGCCCTAAATCCTGTTCTATTCTGTGCCAATCTCATTATTTCTGACAATCCTACCCCCATTACCCCAGTCACTGAATCAATCCATCTCATCGAGGGGTCTTCCTCTCCTGCAGTGTCCCTCCACCCTCCCACACATGACGACCCTCTCCAAGGACTGGTCCCTCCTTGGAACATGTCCAAATTATGTCAGACAAAGCTTCGGAATCTTTGCCTCCAGAGAGAAACCTGGTTTCACCCTCTCCAGGATGAACCTGTTTGTTCTCTTCACATTCAATGATATATTTAATACTCTTCTCCAACATCCCAGCTCAAAGGCCTTAATTTTCCTTCTATCATACCTAGTCATTGTCCAGCTCTCTGATGCATCACAAGTGATTGCAAAGACCATGGCCTGCATCAGGCACACCTTAGTCTCCATACTGAAATCATTGCTCTTAAGTATGTTGGAGAGGTCTTTAACAGCAGACTTTCCCATCACAATACATCTTCTAATTTCCTGGCTGCTGGTGCCAAGAGTATTGATTATGGAGCCAAGCAAACTAAAGCTGTTAAGAATCACAATCTCTTCACCATCTATCATGATGCTGCCAATCGGCCCAGTGGTAAGA